CTAAATAAAAATGAGACAAATTAGTGACAAAATCGCTATAGCAGCAATACTGCTGATTTGTAAGGATGGGCCATTCTTGTCTTAAAGATAAATTAGTGGCTTTGCTAAATAAACTAGTTTATTTACATTTTACAGACAATATTCCATACCTCAAGGTTATTTCCCATTTGTCTTGAATTAGAACCCGCAGGTATAAAGTAGTATCATACCTACATTTTGAAGTAGGTGTTCAATTTCCCCTTTCTTTTCCGTTCTAAAGTTGTTTGTTTCTTTATCGTGGTTTTGTCCTGAACCACTGTGTCAACTTGTAGTTATTATACAAATATAATTATACATACTGTAGTAGGTGTAATTTTTTAAACGAGGATAAGATTAGGCAACCTCCAACTTAACGGTTAGTAAAAATGGCGACTCAGCCCAGCCATTTTTGAGAAACCATTTTAATCCACTCAAGCTGACACCACGGGTTTTTCCCTCTGAAAAAATTGTTATTCACGAATCCAGGTCATGGACTACTAGTCCCATTACTTTTTCCAAATGTTTTTTTCCAAACGCATTTTATAGATATTTTGTCACTAAGTGAAAAATAAATAAATTAGAGTTGGCCTATGAAAACACGGGATTCGGTTGAATTCCATTCATTGTGAATATTTGTGAATGGGTTTTTTTATGCGGTTTGGAATATATTCCCCTATATGTGGTATAGGTAGGAAGAGCATGCACGTAAACAAATGCACAGATATAAAAAATACAAACCCAGCAAAGGTGATCGTCAATGTATGATAATGGCGCCTAATAAAATTTTGTCTTTGAATACGTGTATCAATTATATTATATTTTAAGTCACCTTTCGATCGTTAAACCAGAAAGTTCTAGAAAGACTAAGTACCCTATTTATTACGTTCAAAATTAAACAACAATTTTGTCTCTCATCATTAACTGCTGCCTTTTTATGTTCTTTGTCTTGTTAGAGCTTCTTCAATGACGTCACTTTTCTCTTTAGCAATTAGCATAATAGTTTTCCGTTGATGTTAATTACGAACTATCTACATTATATTCCACTTTATTGCACATAAATCCTTTGTGATAATATTGTTCTTTATGGATACAAAACCACTAAGTTTATTTGTCTATCTGTAGACCGCAAAAAGTTTTTGTTATATACTGATGATTGAATACACGCGGCAAAAACTTATGGCATGCTAGTCCGAAGTGAACGGTCGCCTCGTCTAGTCCGAACCTAAAATTACACAAAAAACCTAGATGTCTAAGTAAACTGGTTGGTGTGATTAATATCCTCAATGTTTGTATGTCAACGTGACAAAGTTCTATTTCCTAAAGCTGTAAAAAATTGAAACCCCAAAATATATTTTATAAAATTCGTATTACTCCTCAAGGTGTTGTCTGGTTGGTAAAAACCATTGAAGAGGTCCTTTACCGTAACTGCAGGTTAAATAGGTATTAAAATGAAATAAAACCCTTTGAACTACTTCGCATTTGAAAAGGTTATAGCAGGAAAACATTGAAAGAGTGGCGATGACCGCGCTGGGCGCTGACGTCAGCGATTCGAGGAAAACTCGGGTGCCGGGCCCACGCGTCGCGTGCGCATGTCTACCAAACACCACTCACGAAACAAATGAACGTAAATTAAACGAACATCATGTTACCATTGACTGGACGATGGAATACATTCGATATTGTTCTGTACCTAATATTTATCATTAAAACTCAAGACAAAGTTCGTGGAATTTGCTGCTACGATTTAACGCAGAGACCTTGAACAGTGGCATGTGTATTGGCTCAAGGCGACGCAGTGTACGTACAACTAGCGAACAGACGACCTACAATTTGCTTTAGTTCACTTGTTATGATCTGGGAAATCTGTTTACTAATTGTTAGAAATGGGAAAACTGATAATATAATGTTTTATACTCAGTATTCTAGCTAGATTTATTAATCTCAACGCTGGCAGCAAAACATATTCATTTGAACATGTTAATGTGTTAACGTTTATAATAAAAACAGCTTTGCCATTTAATGAAAATGTAAGCAAATGATTTACATCAAGAAAGAAATAAACAACTGAACCGTTGCTCTTTTGCCAATGTTGGCGTTTAGCTCGAGTGTAGGACTAAATAATGACCCATTTATCTAATCGTCTATAACTTTTGACATGGGTAATAAAATGACGTGTCTTTGAATTAATTACTACAAAATTATCCGTTACTATTTATTTCGATCTTTAAAATCTTTTGTTCCAAAGAGTTTTGTCCTTCGTTTGTTTTTTGAAACACAGTACTGTTGAACGAAAATAGTGTATTGATTGTTTTTCTGCTAAATAGGAATTGAGCATCGAATTGTATCGCATTAATGGGCAGTGCGCAAACGTTGATTAGCAAGTCAATTAACGCGGGTTCAGGTTGGGCAAGCACCTCACACCTCCACAGTCTCAGATTTATTGTTTCTGTAAATGATTCCAAGATAGTCTATTTAGATAGTGTTGTGTACTTCCTTTTGTTCTAGTTAGTGCTGAATTGGACTTTATTTGAACTATGATAGAGAGGGATTCTCATTTATTTTATTTGCTGGTTGTTAACGCGTCACTTATTTAAACAAACTCACTACTTAAATAATAAATCCAATTAAATAAATTTCGTATAAGATAGAGATAGAGAAAATATTTCATAAACAGAGAAACGTGGTTTCAAAAGCGGTTTGACATTTTCACCTTTTAAATAAAATAAGGCCTATAAATTCTTTACAATTCAGTCTTATTGTTACAGCGATACATAAAAAAAGATAATTATTAAACCTGATCAAACAGTACAAACTATAACTATGACCTTTACAAACAAAAACACCAGTAGTTACGTACATAACCATTCGAATACACGTGAAGAAATTAATTCGAAAATTCCAATGAAAAACGTTATAGAAATGGTCCAATGCGATGTGGTATCGATATGAGAACATATTTATTTCAAACTATGACATCGACGGTTTTCGTGGAAATTGGGGCTGGACTATTGGAAACGTTAGTTCGCGTGACTACTAGTCAAGGACGGGCCCTTGAACTGTCCGGGAGTTGAACGACTCATACTGTTACGATCTCGCACGAACTAATGACAGCCACTGAGGCACATGCTTTATAGTGGTAACGATTTGTAAGTTGATTGATGCTTATTTCAATATTATCTCCAAAGATCTTGAGACATTTCATTATTGCAATTTGCCCCAATATATTGGAAGTCAAGTCTTGAAAATATATTACCTTTTTTGAATACACACATACTCATTTTTCTACTGTCGTATCGGACGCTAAAGCTATCACAATTCTAAGTAGGTGTACCTATACGTGTAGTTTTTAGAAAGGGGCAAAAATTTATTGTTCGATTCTTAGAAAACCTCTGCAAGTAAACAATAACCTTTAAGTACACTATTTTTCTATGAAATTCAGGTGTATATTGATTGTTAAGGAAAAATTATTAAACTATTTTATCAATAGTACGTGGTATTTTGATTTGGTTGCCACAATTTCCCATGAATTTGATAAGCGGTGTGTAAGCTAGAGTAGATGACGTCATGTTTATATCAGACCATCTTATATAATGACCAATCGTGTGGTTATCAGACGGCTTGGTTCCTTCCGTACGATATTTACACATCATAACAATGAATTATGTGTCATGAGACTCGATCATTCAGCAAATATAACGTTAGAATAGGTTAGAATGTTGCATTGCCATCAGAAAATATACCTACCAACCAAATGAAAGAGAATTTGCCAAAGACAAAATAGGCAAGTATAAAGTATAGAAAGAAAATCGTTCGAGGACTTTTTGATAACCGTACAATTATATAATTCTTATTAATTTTCATTTATAGCGCTAAAACATGCACTGTCATCATCATTATTGAAATCTTCATTTATAAATTTTTGGGCGCGGTGTATAGGTACCTACTTCTCGTAATCGAGCCTCTAAAGTTCTCTGATTATGAGCAAAGATAATGTCATCCATAATACATATCATTTTATAATTATATATATGATTCATACAATGTTTTCGTAAACAAATGCGGATTACTTCATAACGTCTAACTTTAGAAACAACAATGATTACATTCGCTGATTGGAAGTACTCATTATCTGAAGATTTTGTAATTTTCGTGAACTAATTACGTTTATTTATAATAATTTGTAGTCAACTTTCCTTGTTCTTGACTGTAGTGTGCGTAAGTTTTGTTCGCAAATGCCGTTCTAAATATCTACGAATAAATCGATTGGAACTTAGGATAAGTTACTTATTGCCTCAGCCAGCTGCAGCTAGCTGCATACACCAACCTCATTATTTCTGATGGACGTAATAGTATTAATATTATTTGCTAACCGATCTTCGGTGCAAGCTTCCGACTTGTCAATAATTGCACACCACAGCTATTGTGCTGTTTAAATATGTAATTGTAACAGTTCAAACGCAATTCAGTGTTTTTTTCTAGTAGATGATTTATTATAAAGTAATTGCTGGCTTTGTGGCGGCAATATTTAGTACCTCACTTTGTTTGCTATTCCATTGCAGACTATCTAAGGATAGCAAATGACCCATTTAACCATGTTCGTCTATCTATCACAACTTTTGTTTTAGTTTGGACTACATTGAAATCTGAAAATGTGACCGACGTAACATTTCGCGCTACCCGATCTATAAGAAAATGGAAATCCCTAATTTTTTAGTCACTACGATGATGTTTTGATTCTTTTGCCAAGTAATACTCTTTAACTGCATGAAAATATTTACTTCACATGTCATGGAAAAACTATTCTTTGAATCATTGGAACATCGCTTCATTCAAAGAACCGTAAAAAAATGTATTTGGCTCGGTTAGCGAATTGTTGAAATGCTTGGACATACGACGTTTTGGTTTCGAGGTGCTGTTTGCGCGTGCGCCGTGCGGCCGCTTCGTATCATACAAAACCGGCCACAAGCGCGCCAACTGACTCAGTCTGATATAAAACATTCTAGCTACGCGTACGTCTACAGTTTGTAGAAGCCTTCATATGACTCATACTCTTATCATATTGTGATTTGACGCGCGGTGATATTCGCTAACTCTTTGCACTGTGAACTTTTAATTTATAACCCTTAGTGGATAGTTGATATAGTTTGGATAATATAGTGGAAAGTGGTCTTCATGTCTCAGCTGGTACCATACCACCTCTACAGCAGCGAGCAAGACGATAGTCTGATGTTCGCTACCATGTTTGACTACCAGGCAGATGAATATAAGAAGCCAATGGTGAGTATTTCATCCATCTGCATCAGCCCATAAGCTCAATTTGTTAGTTTTTGCGTCCACGGAACCAAAGTTTTACGCGACACTTCGTGAAGTGACTTCGTAAACAACTTTCTCAAGTTGGGGACAGTTAGTTGTGTGTGAATGGTGCAATATTTTTACATTTTGTCGTCAGTTTAAAACTTTTAGGTATTGTATCCTTGTTGAATGACCTTGGGATTATTTAATAAGCGTCGCCTAGCTCTCACTAGTGGTTGCTAATTATTTTCAAGTCTCGAAAGTTATTTACACTGTAGTAAAAAGTAGTTTTCACTTAAGTAAATTTTACGTATTAATTTTAAACAATATTTGCCACTGTTGTAACTCCAATAATAGGCCCCCTGTCACTTGTAGCTGTCTAGAACGCTATTGGTCCGTTGTTTGTGCGAAAAGGACGTAGATTGAAAATTGGATCAAACGAGGTTCGGATCACGTTTGACAATATTTAAACTTTTACTCCTAAATGTTTTGTGTGCCTTTTTTGATTTGCATTTTTAATGTTATGTTTATTAAAAGTACCTATAGAATATTCTAGAACTGTTCATGTTTGGTGTGTACCCTAAATTAAATTAAAAGTATTACAATGAGTACCTAGACACATTTGATAGTAATAACGTCAATGAGTTCCAGGAGTTGTTTGTCTGCCATTCCTGTTATTACAATAATTTATTCCTATTATTAGGCACTGACGTAATCTATCGGCGTTACCAGCAGTGTTGTCGTCCACAATAAAATTTATTGTAACAATTTTTCATTTAAAGTTACTTTACTTCCCTAAAAGTTCATTAAGGATACGACAGATGGCGCTGACTAAACATTCGCGTGCTTTTATCGTCAACAGATATAGTAACGAACAAAATACATTGTGATAACACTCTAGGTAAAGATAAACAATATCTATATGTTCGTCGCAATTCAATCAACTCAGGAAAAAATAAACTGAAAATACGCCATAAACATATTTTTACTATAAAGTCACGTGTATTCGTTTTTTCACCGTTTAAGATTTTCACCTTATCACTGCGTGCTTGACGTCACATATGGTTCGACGGGGTGACGTCATGCGATGACGTCATCTTGCCCCACTGCGCAGTGCGCGAGTCTTGAGAAGTTCCACGAACTCGTATCGCTACCTGAACCATTATTATAATGTAACGACTGTACAATTTTTATTTTACTTTATTGATCTCTTATAATGAAAACGGCGATAGAGATCCAAACTAACCGAATGGCCTGTTAGTTTAAGGCAATTTGAGTTTGGTACCTATTTAGCCGGACCTTCCTCGTAGGGGCTGTCTGGCTCCAAGACAGTCACGTATACCAATGGTGCATGTAGGTACCTACGCTAGTTTTTTAACCTCAATTCAATGTCTACTAGTGAGTGACTCATCTAGTCAAATAACACGTTCATAAGTAGGTATATAAGCATTTCATAATCTTGCGTGAGAATATATTATTCCAACTACAGCGTTTTATTAATTTCTATTTACTCTAAGATTTAAATTACTTACCTACATTTATTTAAAATCCCATGGTATAGAAAAACAGGACAAAATAAATGAAAATAATGCCCTTATCGAACGACGTCATGAGCTAGACTTGTTTATGTACAATATGAATGAATGAAATCCTTGGATTTCCCCAACACTCATAACTTAATATTGTGTGCATCACCTACAAGTATCATAGTAAGGTTTCATACCAATCGATAAATATCATGTCTATATTATGAAAGAGACGAACCTATAACATGGCAACGTAATCTCTACTTAGCATTGCGTGAGATTACCCACGTAGGCGTGGCGAAGCGAAAGTGGGGATATCTTATCCCCTCCTCTTTCGGTGATAATTTCAAATAATTCCAAAGTTCAAAATCAACAAGAGATCCTTTTTGAAAACCCAGTTCAATTCCTAGTAAGTGGTCGAAACAACTGATCTTTTAGGATCTGATAACCAAGACTATCAGTTGCGCAAGCGCAACCGGATTTGTCGGGCGGCGGGGCGCAGGCGCAGCGGTGATGGTAACCTTTGCGAAGCGAAAACGTCAAGTCCGGCTGACTTGACCCACTTCGCGCGCTTGTGAAATTTCTCCTGCGCCTGACTGCTTCCAAGAACACTGTGGTTGGGGATTCCCTACACGCTAGAACGCAGCACGCAACCATTTACCTGCCTTGCACAATTAAAATTACTATTACAGCATTTACCGTTACTCTAATTACCATTCGGATCATTCGACCTTTAATTGGTTAGATATTTTGACGTAAGGCCTGATTTACCCAATAGGTACAGCAGATGCATTGTCTATTGAAATGTAAACTGATTTCAAACGGCGATTGACCCCGTTGACTTTAGTTAGCAGATGTATTTTATTGACGTACACCTATTAGTGTTGTAGTCAATACGAGCCGGATGTAGACAATTTGTTTTAATTGTAATCAACTCGGAATCGGGTCCACTTGAATATCGTCAAGGAATACAACAGAAATTTCTTGTATGGTCTTAATTATGAAATCAAGTTCTTTGTAGGTACCTGTTGTAGTAAATTCAATATTGTAAGTATTGTGTAGCCACGGATTAGATAATATAATCTTCATTATACCAACACACGCAGAGTTTTCCAAGAATTGTGAATCATCGGAAGTAGGCAAGCCATATTTTTCAATACAGACATGACAAATACTTGTATGTTTAGGCACTGGTTAGCGTCAAGTATGCCATAATTTACAAGTTTATTTCAAAGCTTTATTTTTTTGTCATAGAGTATCCATTAAATGAGGCCAGATAATAGCAGGCATTTATTGTTTAATATTTTGATATGACTTGGCCAGATGTGCTACTAATAGGACAAACTAAATATACAGGAATTATGGTACTGATTCGGAAATAGATTTGGCATGGTTTTAACTCCTTACATAACTTAAATTGGTTAAAAAACATTAATAACAACTATCACAGCTTAAGATCCATTGGCCTACACAAATACCATTCCTAATGTCGCTGTCAAATAGATTTTTTATTTGTATTTCTTTTATATTTATGATCCCTTGTGAAGTTTTTATGTTCATTAATTGCAATGGATAGGTGCTCTGATGCAATTCTTTAATGTAGGTAAAAAATTGCAGGCCGCACACCTGTGCGCACTGGCGAATGACGTCACCCATGAAGCATGCGGTCTCAGTACCTATGTGAAACTTATTGTTTATGTGCAACAATGTTAATAGAAAATTACCTTATTAGGAATCCTTTCTTTCTTTGTCTTCGTATCAGCCTACTATAATTACCACGTGTCCTAAAGATTATCTTCGCCTTTCATTTTCAACCGGTACCTGTAGGGCAACTTCATTATGTCGTAGCACACCCGAGACAATAAGATATTACGTAGTGATAGCTGTACTGGACAAAATGAGCTTTTATGCAGTTGCACAAGTAGCCACGTACAATAAAGTCCGAAGTTGACTTCTTTATTACCTTTAAAAGATAACACGGCTGCGTTATCCGCACTGACCCATTACATAAAGTGTTTTCCATTGTCTCCTGCCGTTCATTGCTTTCGAGCTATGGCTGCTTACAAAGAGAACAATAATGGAAGGATAGGAAAAAGATTTAAGTGCATACTTCACACAGATATTTTGTGGTCTTTTATGGCTGGGGTTACAAAAGTTGAAAGCGAAAATTTATTTGTTGGTACAAAGTTATTTTCTTGGGAACCTTCAAAAATTTTGCGTTTTAAGGATTTCGGATCTTTTAATGGTTTTTCCAATTCTGGACCCCTTGTCTATAATCAATATAATGATGACTTGCAAATATAGTGTAACCATGAAATTATGACTCAAGGCAACTATACAATAAAATTTATGTAGATGTTATCGTGATTGCCTATGATATTATATTGTTCCCGCCAATCAAAGTCTAACATTTTAATTAGTCTTAGATTACCTTTGGTGCGACCTAAAATATCATTAGATCTTTTTAGCCTATCTTTTAATTTATTGATTTCGTGCTTTATTTGTCCTTTTCTATTTTCTCACACTAAATGCTTCTCGTCCAAACGATTTGCTATCTCGGTCACATTAAGTTGTTGGACCATGGTAGCTGTCAGCACGGTGCTAAGTCATGCGGTCCGGTCTTGTCGCACCTTAGCCAACCACCCACGTTGTACAATGTCATGTCGACGTTTATCCATATCAAAAGCATCGTAAAGTTCAATATTTGTCTGCAATTGAAATGTATATTTGTCACCTCAAACAGCTTTCAATGTTTCTCCTATTGGACTCGAATTATCTGTGAGAGATTTATATATAGGTAATACAAAAAAATACTGGCTACACAAAAAAACAACGTTTAAATGCTTGCGAAAATAATATATCCCACACATTTCGACTACCTAATTACCTAATTTAATATTCCGGGAAACCAGCTTTTGTATGACATAATGGATTTTCGATAAAAAAAAGTTGAAAACGGCACTTCCCACACAGGTCTGCATATTTCGTGGGAAAGTAAAGTAAATGCCACGCAAGGTCACAGGTAAATCTCAATGCAAGGACAATTTGCTGTTATTTTAATATAATTCTAAGTCCGCTTTGACCTCGAGTATAGTCAAATGAGTTCGGAGAATCAAACTACACAAAATCGCAGCGAAACAGGAAAACGTTTTTGTCTTTTACAATTATATTACAAATATATGTATGTAGATATGTGTTAATAAAGTTACAACTGTTATAATCCGTTCGATATTAAAATTTCCTGTTTGTTTAAGCATCAACTTTATTATAGAATGTGATGATATTAAACATAGTCCATGTTTATTCTCAGTCCTTATTGAGAAACTTGCTCGATTGGTATGAATTCTCATACTTTGCATTGTATTATTATTCACTTGGAGGAAATTACAATGCATTTTAACAACAATTCCCTAAATGGAAGGATAATTCTAGAAAGTTGATGAGAAATTTTTTTTAACT